ACTGCTGCTCCTGCGGGTCCAGCTGCTGCTGCTGCTGCTGCTGCTCCTGCGGCTCCAGCTGCTGCTGCTGCTCCTCCAGCCGCTGTAACTCCCTCTCCTCTCTCTCCAACTCCAGCTGCTCGTCACGGGCACGGCGAACACGAGCCTGGTGCCTAGTCGGGTAGGGGTGGGGGGGTGGAGTAGTGTCCGAAGCAGCGGCAGCTCCAGAGTCCACCTCAGAAGAACTAGGCGCACCACCCCCAGAGGCAGCACTAACACCAGCTCCAGAACCAGGCTCACCTGAACCCGAAGGAGGCGCACCCTCACCCCCAGACGCAGCACCCCCAGTGTCCGCGCGGCCAGCACCAGCTCCCGGACGACAAGAGTCCTCTGCACCCACCAGGTCAGCTGCAACTCCAGAACCAGAAACTCCAGCTCCAACCCCAGCTCCAACTCCAGCACCCCCAGAACCAGAAACTCCAGTGCCAACTCCAGCTCCAACTCCAGCTTCAACTCCAGCACCCCCAGAACCAGAAACCGGTACAGGAACAGGCGCCGCACCAACCTCTCGAGAGCTAGCACCAGCGGCACGCTGCGAGGAGGACTGTGGGGAGGGAGGCTGTACCGGAGGGGCTACCGAAGGAGGAGGGGTAGCCTGGGACACACCTGACGGGGCACTGTGGTGTAGCGGGAGAAGTCGTCAACGACCACCAGAAAGTAACGCTCACGCTCAGGGCCTAGACGAGGGGCTGGGCCCTAGACGTCCAAGTGAAGCGTCTCAAAAGGCTCGGTGGCCGGACGAAGGGAGGAGGAGTGAGGGGTGGCGCGCAGCCTACCCTCGACGCAGGGACGACACGGCGGCGCAGGCGAAGGTGGCAGCGACGGCAAGACACGTGGGAGGCCTAGGACAAGACGCTGACTAGACATAGCGCGCAGACGTGGAAGGGACGGGTGCCCCATCCGGTGGTGCCACAGAACGGTGGGGTGGGCAAGCGACCGGCAGGAGCACGACGCAGCGACTGGAACAGACGTAGGAACCTGACACGACACAGACACCTGGGGGGACGTAGCAACCTGGTGAGACGCGGGGACCCGAACGGGGGGGGGAACCGGGGGCAGTGGCAGTAGGGGGGGCTGCTGGTGCGGCCGCTGGTGCTGCTGCTGCTGCTGCTGCTGCTGCTGCTGCTGCTGCTGCTGCGGCTGCTGCTGCTGCTGCGGCTGCTGCTGCGGCGCACGCGGGCCAGTGTGAAGAGTGTAGAGACCCGAGCCCGGCTCAGCAGTAAAGGTAGCAAGAGGCTGGTAAGAGTCTCCGTCAACACACACCGCAGTCTCTCCAGAAGGCTCAAACCACACACCCACGTGCTGACTCACGAGGGGTCGCACGCCCACCAAGTTCCGGGAGAACGAGGGGACGTGAAACCCAGTGAGAGACCCGGAGGGAGCAGCAGGACACGGTAAAGTGGTAGTGTGACGTGCAGTGACTGGTCCCGTTGTGGGATCAGCCAACGCTACAGAAACAGGCGCAGGAAGTGGTGTAAGTGTCGTGCTGTCCCGAAAGAAGCAGTGGGAGGCTCCAGAGTCCAGTGTGAACGACAGCGAAGCGTCCTCCGAGGTAGTCGCTGGTCTAGAGTCTACACAAGTACCTACACTAGCAACAGGCAACTGAGCAAGACTAGCACCTAAGCTAACAACACCAGAGTAAACAGAGTCAGAAACACTAGAGTCAACAACAGCATACATAGCATGAGGAGCACTAATCAGATCAACTAACTGCTCAGCAGACATGCCCCACAGAGCGGAGCCGTAGCGCTGAACCAGAGGAAGCTAGTCAGGAGCAGGACCGCCAACCCCGTAGGTCAACCGGACCGTGTCAGTGAGCTGAGCAAAGCACTGACCAGGGGGGTGAAAGCGGCCACAAGGGTGGCCCCGACGAGGACCTGTCTGAACCTGGTAGGGGCAGGGAGGGTAAGCAGCACCGCGCTGGGGCTGACGCAGCCCCGACCCCGGAGCCAGCTGCTGACGCTGCTGCTGCTGAGGCTGCTGGGAGGAAAGGGGCTGCTGCTGCTGCTGAAGGTGCTGCTGACGCTGAGCCTGGTACCACGCCGCTGCTCCACCTAGCGGGGCCGGCAGTACAGGAGGCGACTGACGAGCTCGAGGGTCGCCGCCACCAGCAGGTGCAGTGGAGTCACCAGCCGCTGCACGAGGGGTCTCTCCAGACGCTGCACTCCCACCACCGCCAGTCGCAACAGCACCCCCACTACCTCCGCTACCTCCGCCTCCACCTCCACCGGAACCACCTTTCTTGCCCCCCCTGCCGCGGGACCGCGACGCAGTCGTAACAGCAGCCGCAGTCGCGTCAGTAGCGGCAGTGGCAAGAGAGGCAGTGAAGGTGGGTAACTGCGGGACTGTGCACCCATGGAAGAGTGGGGGGGACACAGTACCAGAGGCGGCAGCTACCGAACGAAGGTTGCTCTCGACGTCCTTGAGTGCAGACTCAAGGACCTCGATAGTCAGCTCACTAGGGTGCTTCAGCAGAAGCGCGTCACGGACGGAGGCAAGGCGGTCAGGGAGGCTAGTGGCGATGAAATAGACAGTGATCGCCATGGGGGGAGGAAGCAGTGCAAGCTGTGCCTTAGTGCAAGCAGCGCGGTAACTAGCGTCGAGCGAGCGGAGGTGAGCGATCAAGTCAGCAGAGCGCTCAAACGAGGCAAGATCAGGAAACAGGAACGGGAGGAAAAGACGGCCGAGAGAGACAGTAGCGGGAGTAGAGTAGCGGGCCTTAATCGCAGTGAGGTACGCAGCAGCGGTGCGAACCTGAGTAAAGTGGACCTCCTCGGACTCAGGGAGGAGGCTGCTGAGTGCGATGCAGGCCGCAGCGTCACGCGACGTCCAAGCCGTCCGGTCAGCGCGCTGACGGGCAAAGCGAGCTGTAGCAGCGTCGTCAGGAGCAGGGCCTAAAGCGGTAGGCTCGGGGGGCTCGGGGAGGTCACCAGTAGCGTGTGACCAGAGGGTCTCGCCCCCCTGGACCTGACTCTCTAACAGACGACGAGCGCGAAGAAGCCAGACGGAAAAGTCAAGGGGTCTACCGTCAGCGTCGAAACGAAGAACTCGCGGAGTCGCCATAGTGAGAACCAACGCGAACGAACAGGCGAGTAACAACCGGGGGGGAAGAGGACTCAGTCGCAGCGGAAGAGCGGGCTAGGGCGACGGGCCAAAACGTAGGGTAGGGCAACGGGCCAGAGCCTAGGGTAGGGCGACGGGCCAGAGCCTAGGGAGGGCGACGGGCCAGGGCCTAGGGAGGGCGACGGGCCAGGGCCTAGGGAGGGCGACGGGCTAGGGCCTAGGGAGGGCGACGCGACGGGGGAAAGGGCGGGAGCGACGCGACGGGGCAGGGCGACGCGACGGGACAGGGCGACGCGACGGGGCAGGGCGGCGCGACGAAGCAGGGCGACGGGACAGGGCAGGGCGACGCGACGGGGTAGGGCGACGCGACGGGACAGGGCGACGGGACGGGACGGGACGGGACAGGGCGACGGGACGGGACAGGGCGACGCGACGGGACAGGGCGACGGGACGGGACAGGGCGACGCGACGGGACAGGGCGACGGGACGGGACAGGGCGACGCGACGGGACAGGGCGACGGGACGGGGGGGGAACAGGCGGGCGCGACGCGACGGGGGAAACAGGCGCGACGCGACGGGGGGGAACGGGCGCGACGCGACGGGGGGAACGGGCGCGACGCGATGGGGGGAACGGGCGCGACGCGACGGGGGGAACGAGCGCGACGCGACGGGGGGGAACGGGCGTGACGCGACGGGGGAGATGACGCTAGGCTCGGTACTAGGCGCGGTAACAACTAAACTGGTACGAACGAGAGGTAGGATCAGGCTCGGGAGGTACGAACGGAGAACGGAGGAACGGGATCCCACAGGATCCTAACCTAGCTGATACCATGTCAGAATGAGGAATGGATGTTGCATTGATGTTGGTTGGGGTACATATGACAAACCCTAACTTCTGTACCCCCTAAGACAAACCTCACTACAGGCTACAACATTTGACACCTGACTACGATCAACTTCTGATTGCAACATTATCAATAGCATTTCACTTTAGTTTGGGTAAATTCCTAGCTCGTGTCTGACATCATGTCATAGGCCCTTAGTCTCTGATTTGCCTATTCTGAATGTTGTTTTGCCCCAATCCCGAGCTACTTCGGGTCTTCCGGTCCTCCACTTCGTGTTTGACGTGATGTCAGACACGAGGTAGGAATGTACCCTTATAACCTTTGATAAATAGCTTACACATTTTGTGAGAATACCGGTAAGAGATCATCAACTTCATCTCGTGTTCCGAAGTGAGGTTCTCGATATCCCTAAATGAGTTTTTGTTTGACTGGCTGACGCGTTTCTGCACTGCATTAACCCTGCGGTAAGGGGCGTATCCACCTAGTTAGCCTGGCGCTGAGATACGACCTACAGCAGGAGACCCTCCCTTCTTAGTGTACCTTATCAAAGAGCTAGTGTACCAGCCACTCTTCCTTGGCATCCGACGAGTCAATCGGTTTTGACCCTAGTTTTTGTGACTCGAACCTTCCGGACATGCCCACATCCTCCAACAACATCTGATCGAGTTTCACCCAATCCCATCCGTTCGACTTCGCACCGCATTCCCCGCTCCATTAGCGACCTCGTTCTTGGCCACAGTACCGCGTTCCACGACCCTCCTCACCTCACAGCGCCGTGGTAGCGTCGAGCTCGCACTTCAAGTAGCCAGCCCACAGCAGCCATGGAGCCTCGTGAAGTGCCGCTTCTGTGCCATAACCCCCTGTTGTGCCATCTCGCCGTCGCTCTCTCTGCGAGACTATCTCGCCGCGCTTCATTCTGCCCAACCATCGTCGGCGAATCTGCGCCCATATCTCGCCAACCACTGCCATCCACCATCGCTATCGTCACCTGCGCTTCGCCTCACTGCCGCGCCTCTCCGCTGCGCCGATCGGTTTTCCGCTCCGCTCGCCACGATGGGCGGCTTTCCGCCGCTGCTCGCGCTGCTCGCGCTCGCCCTCATTCTCGGTCAGTCCACCAGCCGTGCTTTCGTCCGTCGCTTGCCTCTTTTGTGCCCACCAGCATCGCATCTCGCCTTCGCCCTCGCGTACACTGGCAGTGAATCCGCAGCGCGTCGCTCTCCGCGTCACCCTAAGCGCCATTTGCGTCCGTACACCACCGGAATGCGGGCCGAACGAGAGCAGACCACACCAACTTCCAACTCCCCGCTCTGCTCTGTTCCCCTCTCGTCCCTTCTCGCCCTCCCCTGCAGCGAGTGACGTCATCCGCGGGGCGTCCGCCCAAGGGGGCCGTTTGGAGGTGCCGGCGACGCTGGCGGTGGCGACGCGGATCACGCTGGGCAGCTTCTCCTTCAACTTCACGGCGGCGCGCTGCACCAACCTGCCGCGCACCACCCCCAACGCCACCGTGCAGTGGTCGTCCAAAGCCACGCCCACCCTCCCCGCGTGCAAGAACCTCACCTTCTGGAGCGGCGCGTCTTGCTCCGCCACCTCCTCGTACTTTCTCACGAGGTCCCCAAGGTCAGCGGGACGCCCGTGCGATGGGATGTGTGGCCTGGGTCGGGTGGGGTACGGTGTGGTCAGGTTTGATTCGACTAACTTGTTGCCAGCGAGCCCAAACAGGACACGTACTGTGACCTGACACGATGAGACAGTGTTGCGACAGCATTTCTATTCTCGCATGCACCCCGTGCCTCCCCTCAACAGCCTGACCACCAACACCTCCCAAGCCGCTCTCCCCTATTCGACGGCAGTGTCGGCTCGCTGCGCTATTGGTATGCTCCTTGTCGCCCTCCCTCTAATAAAGTGCCTGTCGCTGCACAGAAATCCCCTGTTCTGTCAGTGTGCAAGGAGCTAATCCCATGTGCGTGCTGCTCTGCGTGCAGACAACATGTGCCAGTACACCAAGTGCCCTGCGGGCTCCACCTGCAAGACAACCACGGACACCAGAGGCGTCACCTGCGCTTGCAATGAGGGCCTTTACGCCTACCAGGGCACATGCCAAAGTAAGCCACTCCTAGCGCCCCCATTTTAACACCAGCCTCTCCCCGTGCACGGGCTTGCAGCATCGCTTGCCACTCCGCCTGCCCAATTGCATGCCCCACGAGCGCCTCTCTCTCTCTCTCTTCCTCTCACCAGACTGACTCCCTCCTCTTTCTTCGCTGCCCCTGTGCCCTCCCCGCCCGCCCTGCATCTATCACGTGACGCCATCAGCCCTAGAGATCGCAGTGCAATCGCCGGCCTATGACGCGGTGATTGACGTCACTGCCATGGGGGCGCCCACGGAGGTGGAAGCCAAGCTGCCAGTCGCCACGCAGCTGACAGTGGGCGCCTACAGCGTCCCCTTCGACCCCTCCTCGCGCTGCACCCGCGTGCCTGATGGCACCACGTATGCGGGCGTGAGCACGCCTGTGAGCGTGCAGTGGGGCACTACCAGCGCGCAGGGGGGCGGGGCGAGTGCGCCGTGCTCGTCGCTGTGGTTCTTCAGCGGCAGCAGCTGCAACAGTGGCACGTCGTTCAGCAGCCTCAGCAAGACCTCCTCCAGGTCAGTGCGTGCGGCGGCGCTGCGCTGCGTGATGGGATCAGGCAGAGCAAGGGCAGGCACAGAGAGGGAGGCGGAGCAAAGGGATGGGAGGGGAAAGGAGGGAGGGTGAAGATGGCTTGAGTGGTGTTGAGTGGGGAGAAATCCGATGAGATCAGGGAAGGCAGGAGATTTAGAAAGCTGGAATTGGATTGCCATGATAATGACTTACAGCTGTGCTGTGTGTTGCCCTCTTGTTTTGCGTTGCCCCTTATGAGCAGCCAGACGGCCACGATCACGCCGACCACTCCACTCGCCTCTGTTGATTGCCCAATCGGTACGTCTCCTTGCTGCCTTTCGCCCTTGCTACCTTCACCCCTTGCTACCTTTTTCTAAGTCAGTGAGAGATTGGCAGCGAGTCTGATTTGAGTCTGCTGCGCTGCTCGTGTGTGCAGCCATGCCGTGCAAGTACGCCTCATGCCCCAACAACTCGGTGTGTCTGGATGCAAGCGGCAGCAAGCGAGCCACCTGCAAGTGCGACGAGGGTTATGTTGCCGTCAACGGCACCTGCCGAGGTACAGTGCTGTGCTCACAACAGCTTCCCAAGGTGCACCGCTGTGCCTCCCAAGGTGCACCGCTGTGCCTCCCAAGGTGCACCGCTGTGCTTCCCTAAATACAAGTCTGTGCTCTCTGTCGTTACTCCTGGCGCATGCTCAGTACAGCCCATGGGGCAATGTCTCGTTCGCAAGCCCGAGTATTGTTCTGAAATGCGGAGCATGCATGGTTTGCTTGGGATAATCCACAGCTGTGATTTTTTTGGGTTATGGTCCCCAACCTTTGAACCTGTCAGTATAGTTTTTCCTGCTCTTTTGCATCACCTCCCTCCCTGCTGCAGACAAGTGCAGTGTGCTCTGCCCGGTCAACGCCTATTGCATCAGGGATGCGGTCTTGGAGCCACAATGCTACTGCAACAAGGGATTCGATATGAGCGCTGAGGACGGTACCTGTGTTGGTGAGTACGCCGTGTTCCACCGGTATGAAATATGGGGATTGGAAATAGCACTTCTTACTGAATGCATGATTTTGCAAATTCGCCCTGCCACGCGGTCAGCATGCTGCTCTTGTTGCTTTATTGCCTGATTCCGTTTGTTGTTCTGGTCCATGGCTCTCTGTCAAAACTGTTCAACATTCCATGTATCTGTATTCTCCTAATATGTATTCATCATTTATCCATGCACCTTCATTCCCTTCATGTTTGTATTCTTTTCATGGCAGACAAGTGTGCATCAGTAAACTGTGCGCTCAACAAGACATGCACAAAGGATGCTGACGGGACTCCATCTTGTACCTGCAGCACCGGCTTCAAGCTGGCGGCCGACAACACCACTTGCATCGGTCAGTTGAACGAGTGTCACACACGGGCTGTGGTGTTGCCTCTAAATTACGAAACTTGAAACGACCTCGGTCTTAGGCAACGCGGAACGCATTCGTGGTTTAACCGTCTTGCAGAATCTCTGCAACTACTGCAGCAGTGGGTGATAGTGATAGCACTCAGAACCAATGTTATGGGCGCCTTGAGTTCTGAGGCAACATTCTGTTTTCACAGCGGATGGTAATTTCCTCCTAAATCGCTGCCATAACTTACCTCCATATCTCTCCTTCCAACCCACGTGCACTACAGACAAGTGTGAGTTGGTGACTTGCAAGGGCAACTCGAGTTGCGCCAGGGATGCGGACGGGAATACAAGATGCGATTGCATCAAGGGCTTCGAGCGTCTTCCGGGCAATGACACTTGTGCTGGTGAGCTGTCTTGGCTGGTTTGCTTCTCTATATCAGCTGTTCAAATAGCATGACATGCTGGAATGCACCCAAGAACACCAAGGGCAATGACATTGTGATCAGCTGATCAGCTGATCAGCTGGTGCGATCAGCTGGTGTGAGTGAACCTCTGGAATGGAGTGAAAGGTACTTCCTTCATCCCATGATGGCCGCGTCAACACAGATGAAACCTCATCGTCATCCCTGTCACACGTGTATCCTTCTCGTGTGTCCTTGGCAGACAAGTGTCTTTCGGTGAAGTGTGCGCTCAACAAGACGTGCACGAAGGACGCGGCTGGAACTCCGTCCTGCGTTTGCAGCACGGGTTTCAAGCTGGCGGCCGACAACACCTCTTGCATCGGTGGGTAGGGGGAGTGCAACACACAGTTCGACCCACAGTCGTTGGAATTCTGGCTTGATCATAAAGGAATTCACTAGTAAATTGTGGGGGTTCACCACTTCATTCATTTGGCCTCCCCTCAACCTTGTTTCAGTGGTTGCTAAAATGCATGCATAGCCAACTTCCTGAAACTTCAAAGTTTTCAAGGATCAGTTGGCACTGTCGTCTCCTGATATGATACTATCCTCCCTCTTGCATGGTTTCTCTTGTTCTGCAGACAACTGTGCGGCGGTGAATTGTGGGCTCGGCGGCAAGTGCGTGTATAAGGAGAACGGAGACCCAACCTGCTCGTGCGATGCGGGATACCAGATGCCTCCGGACAAGCTGGTCTGCGTCGGTGAGTTGCAGAGATCTCCCCTCAAGGCTTCAGGTCCCTCAAAGCCTAAACATTGGAGTAGATTAGTAATAATTTGGTCTTAACCGTCTTTGAGAATTTATGCACTGTGTGCAAAGCTTATTTCTGAATTCCCTCTTATCTGTATTGTTTTCATGGCAGACAAGTGTGCTTCGGTGAATTGTGGGCCCAACGGCAAGTGCGAGAAGGATGCGGCCGGAAATCCATTCTGTAACTGCACCACCGGATTCAAGCCATCTGCTGACAACCTTACTTGCATCGGTGGGTTGCAGAAGGGCAACACAGTCACCGTGGCATTTTGCACTAAAACCCAATAAACCCTAGGCTTTGAAACTACCTCAGTTTGACAATATTCTCCCTTTTGCCTGGCTTTTTCTGCAGACACCTGTGCTGCGGCGAATTGTGGGCCCAACGGCACGTGTGTGAAGAAGCAGAACGGGGATCCAACCTGCTCGTGCAACGCGGGCTACCAGATGCCTCCTGACAAGCTGGTTTGCGTCGGTGAGTTGTAGAGGACTTGTCGTGCTCGCCCCAACATGTTGCCAACTTCTTGGTATAGTTGCCGTCCTGCGTGCTCCGCCCGCATTCCTCTCTTCAAGAATCATCCCTTTCCATTTTTCTATGCTCCACCCCATCCCTCCGTCCACTCTCGCCAGATTTGGCTTGCTACGTGTTGGGCTGCGAACCAGAAGGGGTGTGTGTGAACAACAATGGAGTCCGTTCTTGCAAATGGAGTAAGCATGTCTTCCCGCATTCCGTGCACCCAATTCATCCCTACCTCGCTTATTATGCAAAAGCTACCACTGCAGTCCCACATGGAGATGGTAAATTTCCATTCTCATCCCGGCATCTCTCTGCCCTGCCATGCGTCTCCCGTGCTTGCTGTGCTGCTCAGACTCACTCTGTGGCAGCTGCCCCACTGGAGCCGTCTGCAAAACCACCAAGGCAGATCTTCTGAAAGCAATTGACCCACAAGAACTCATTCGAACGGTCGATGCACCGTACTGCGAGTGCCCTGCGGGCTACGGGATGACCCCAACGGAGTGCATCAAGGGTGAGATTCAATAGCGCTCCTTCTGCTCCCCCTCTGTTTCTTCACACCCTGCATTCTCCTGACTCGCGTATGATGAGGGCTGACGAGGTGGAGTGGGGGGAGGGGGACCTTGAAGCCTTGAACCAATGCTGCAAACAATCATACCATCATCTCACTTTCATCTTGTTTTCAACCATCCTTGCTCCACATCTCTCCTGCTTCTTGTGCCATCCATCCATGTTCAGGTGCACCCAACCAAGTTCTTTCCACCAGCATGACACTCATCCAGGATCCCACAGCCAAGGACAAGGCATCCAAGCCCTACACCTTCCGCTTCAAGAATGGCTGCAATCAGTTCCCGAAGGAGGTGGCCGGGAATTACACGGCTTTTTACGCCGTGATTAACATTAACGGCATTGCGAGTTGTCAGGACTGGGAATCTTACACCACGGACAATTGCACGTCGACCCCTGAAAGGAGTGGACACGGTGACACTACGTTTATGTATGCAGTTGCATTGCTGTAAGTGCCCAATTGTCGGACATTGATCCCCATTCTGCATTTCATTCACAATCTTGGCACTGCTACTATCAGCTCCGTTATATGCTTTCGTGCTCTTTTTTGCACCCTTGCTCATTCTATGCCGTCCGCTCTCAGTACTTACACTGTTTTCTCGATTCTGTTTTTTCTTTGTTTCATCATCAACCAGGAATGGTCCTCTACCCGGGCTGCTACACGACTCGTATTGGTGCGGGCCTCGCTGATTCTCTTGCTGACCGCTTTTGAGCCAATGAGCAACTCTGGAGAGCGCCTGACATCATGAACTCGGTTGCTTTGTTGTACAATATTAAGTCGTTTCCCTCTTAGTACCAGCACCACATCCCTTCCCTCTCTCAGGGTAAGTGACCATGACATCAGATTCTCATGCGGTAGGCCTGATCCACCTGTTCTTTCTTCCATGTCACATGCATGCTCTCTACGATACGCGAACTTTGTTGGCTGGTCTGCTGTCTGTATGCCTGATAATCCAGTGTGTGATTCCTGTAAGTTTTTCCATACCAATACCGGTACCGGCGTTAGAATCTAGCAGGCAGGAATGAATGCACTATGGAAGAGTTGGGTACAACTATGAAACCGTAACAGGGTTGTACCCCATATTGGCTACCCCACTACAGCCTACACAAATATAACATGCATATACTTTGACACACCCCCATAGGCAAAGTGGGGGAGAACTGTTAAATATACAAACATAAGATGATACTTATGCTGTTAGGTTTTACTGTAGTGTTCCTTTATAAGACTCTCAGTCCTCCAATAATTGTACAATTATTGGAGGGTCAGAATTATTGGTGGGTAGAATTATTGGCGTGGCATTGTTGGTGTGGATAGAACCATCCTGAAGGGGTTAGCTGCTCAGATAAATACCCTGCTATGTCATTTTCATAACAATTCCATTGTTCTGAATCTTTTCAGTTGTAAGTTCCTCTTGCTACTTATTTTACAATCAAGCTTCCGCAATACCGGCACTATGCCTTTCTAGCATGGTATCAGAGCTACTCTAGGGGGCATGCTGCCGAAATTTGGTTAGAACCTTATCAGCATTCACATTGGACAGGGATATTAGCTGACTCGCACAGCAAGTGACAACATTTGGATTGGAGGCATGGCGCGGTTCGACGATGAAGTCGATGCTGGATACGAGGCGTTTGAAGAAGCCATCATGGCTCAACATGAGCACCTGGAGAACGTGATTGCAAGGGCACCACCAACACTCCAAGCGTCATTAAGAGCAAAGTTCAACATGCCAGCCCAAGTTCGAGATTTCAGCAACCGATCCATCCGTGAACAGTCACATGCAAGCACTCTGCGTACTAACCAAACCCGTGCTTCAAATATGGATGCAGGGATTGAAGGTGAAGGAGAGGGAAGCTTACCCCAAGGAGGAGAGTCATCCCAAGGGAGGGATGCATCCTTCCAAGGAGAGGGGAGCTCCCACCCCGAACCTCAATCAACCATGCAAAGGGAAGCAACGGGGAGGGATGATGCGTACGGGAATGGAACAAATGTGATGGAGCATGGTGATGGGATCGGCGTGGGAAGAATCATGAGAGGGCAGATTGGGGAAGGGAGTGGTCGAAGCAGTCATGTGGGCATGGACGGTGTGGGATTCGAATCCTACACTATTGGTGCTCCCCCACTGCGACGTCTCGCCACTAACTCCCATCCCATTGGAGTTCCCGTGATGGGCAGATCTCACCTCTTTGGCAACAACGTCGTACCTCCTCGTGCGCCACGGTTTCAAATGGAAGCGGTACATGCAGGAAGCATGGGGCGCATGGGGCACGGGATGCAGTCAAGTGGTGTTATGCGACGTGATCAAGTGGAAGTGGTGGAACGTGAAGGCACACAACGCACGGTACAACTACCTCGACCATCCAACGTGCCTACGCTCTTCGACCCGTCTCCACGCGAGTACACGGAAGAAGACAAGGACAGGTTGTCACGCAAAATGGTGGGAGCAGCGGTGGACAAAGCGTTCACAACAACTCCATTCGACGGCACTAACTTTCGAGAGTGGGCTCTTCGATTTCGCATGAACGCGCGCGTGACAAACCTGTGGGAGTTCTTCGTGACGCTACATTACCCGGTTACAATGGTGCAAGGAGAAATGCGAGATGCAATGGAACGGCTGGAAGTTCTACAAGCAGATTACTCACAACGTGCTACGCTGGCTTTTTGGGTGCTCCTGCATAGCGTAAGCGCAACGATTCAGCTGCAACTTGACGTGTTCCAAGAGTCATACAGTCCGGCATTCGAAGCATGGGAGTACCTGATGGAGACTTACCAGGCGAAGGATTCGGTAGCAAAGGCGTCTCTCCAAAAGCAATTGGACAACCTGAAGATGGGGAGCCAAGAAAGAGTGGAGGAATACATCAACCGAGCAACTGCACTTCGGGATAAGCTGGCAATGGCGGGAAAAATGGTAGATGAAGATTCATTCACTTTAAATTTGATCACCGGGCTGCCGCCGCATTGGGAGGAGTTGAGGCATTCGGCAATGCTACACGACATCTCGGACAGCTACGCACTGCAACGAATGATGATTCAGGAACAACGCTACCAAGACCTCATTAGCAAGACCAACCGTGACAAGCGTCCTCCCCGCATGGCTGGCCAAGCACGTGGAGATAATTCACCAGCGAAAGAGAGAACCGAGACAAAGGACAACCGGAATGCGGCAAGGTCAGCGGGAGGACGGTCTAACCTTGTGTGTTGGTACTGCAAGGAATCTGGCCACCCGTTCTACAAGTGTCCGAAGGCGCCTCCGGGTTGGTCACCACCAGGTTGGGAACCACAAAACAGAGGGAGAACCAACCAGCGCACCTGGAGTAGTCGCTCGTCCTCACCGCGAAGGAGTGAAAGTCCGAAACGTGACAACCAAGCGACAAAACAGCAAGGGGCAGGCGGGGGAGACAACAAACGAACCATGACATGCATTGCAACGGTTCGATCGTCGCAAGCAACATCACCGTCAACCGGAGGGTCGATGTGGCTGCTGGACAGCGGATGCAGCGAACACATGACTTCGGAAAAGGAGTGGTTTGAGGGTTTAGAGGAGCTGAACGAACCCGTTTACGTGGAACTTGCTGACGGAAGCCACCTGTTGAGCTCGATGGCGGGAACAATCCGAGCAACGGCACCCAATGGAACAACAGTGCGCTACACGGACGTACTCTACGTACCCGACTTGAAGTCCAACTTGCTCTCCTATTGTCAGCTGTACAAGAAAGGAGCTCGCATTCACACACGTGAGGATGGGCGCACGGAGATCACAATGGCGGATGGGGATGAGCATGTACTCATTGGAGTTGGAATGGTCATGCATGGGGTGCTAATGGTGCAATATGAGCCTGCACTTGCATCCGCCCATGCATCTGGTCATGATCATCCGAATGAAGCATTGAATGAGACTGACCTTGGAGGGCCGAATGTGCAATCTGCTCATGCATCCATCACATATCGCATGGCCCACAAGCGCTTGGGTCACCCATCATACACATCCATGGATGCGACATTTCGAAATGGTGATGTTGAAGGACTCACTATATCCAACAAGACTAACCCTCTCAAACCCCCATGTGACTCATGTCTTCGAGGGAAGATGAGCAAGGCCCCTTTTCCCACAGGAAGCACCAATGCCACAACTCGACCTTTGGAGCTCGTGCACAGCGACATCATGGACCTGGGTGATGCTCACCCTTCCCTTCGCTATGTGCTGACGCTCAAGGACGACTACACCAACTACCTGTGGGTGGCGCCGTTGGCTCGCCGGTCCGACATGGCTGCAGTTTTCTCGGCTTGGCACCGTGAGATGAAGACCAAGCTGCCCAAGATGCCGCTGGCTGCCTTGCGCATGGACAACGGGGGGGAGTATACATCAAACGCATTCACGGATTACTTGAGTTCTCACGGTATCAATCACCAAACGTCCTTGCCACACACGCCGCAGCAGAATGGAGTCGCCGAACGGGTTAACCGCACACTCATGGACCGAGTGCGAGCAATGACTACCGGGGCCAGCCTTTCCTCCAAGTTCTGGCCTTATGCACTGGAATATGCGGCATGGTTACACAACCACATCAGCTGCAGCAGCAACCCATCCGCACACTCACCATACTTCATGATGATGGGAAAGGCAGCAGATGTCTCCATGGCTAGAACCTTCGGATGCCTCTGCTACTATCTCCCTCCCCAAGGCAGCTTTGGGAAATTTGAACAACGAGGACGGGCAGGCATGTTTCTCGGCCTCTCTAACTCACGCAAGGCCTGGATCGTGCGGGACTTGGCAAGCGACGTTGACACCGACACACGCTCTGCTCGGTTCTTTGACGACCTCATGCTCCCGGACGCCGAGTCTCTGCTCGAACGCCAACGATACATGGATGAAATCTCACCTCATATCTCGGAGTGGACTTCAGGGGGAGACGACGTTGGGTCAGCATTCGACTCTTTTCCCATATCCCACACTTCCTCCCCATCATCTTCTGACGCCGCCACAGCAGAACAACATGGACCTGAGGCAAATGACGGAGCTCAAGAAGACTCACCAGCAGCTCGTGAAGCCGATACAAGAGAAGAGACAACGACAAGTGACTTACCAGCGGCAGGCATCTCTGTTTGTGAAGGTGCTGACATCAACGAACCAGAACATGAAGCAAGTCATCTCTACGACTTTGCCTACCCACCCGAGGGTATCCAGCTGGTTGCTCTTGAGGTACCGCCACGGCGGGTTCACTTCAACCCAACGGTAACAGTGCTTGGAGAAGGACACGGGACGGACAACATGACAGGCCTGGACGTACTATTTGGGAGGCGGCAGGCAAGACAAACAGTCACACGATTTCCCAACTTGCAGCAGCAGACCGTACTAGGATGTGCAGCAACCGGCGTCCCCATGGTGGAGCTGACATACAAAGAGCCAAAAACACTTCAAGAAATGATCAAGGACCCGTACGCACCTCTTTGGCAAGCCGCTGTGGATGCAGAATTGGCCAAGTTCGATGAGCTGGACGCATACGAAGTGGTGGACAGAGCGGACGTACCAAAAGGAACACCGGTGCTGTCGGAAGGAGTCGTTTTACGAGTGAAACGAGATGAGCACGGACAGCCAAACCGGTTCAAAGCGCGCTGGGTGGTCAAGGGATGCGGCCAAACTTGGGGGACATACGATGGGACATATGCACCGGTCAGCCAAGGACCTACCTCTCACATATTCGTTGCTGGTGCATCTGCTACAAAGCGGAAGGTGGTGCAATTGAATATCTCCAATGCATTCCTATACGCTCCAATTGACCGGGACATATACGTGAAACCACCAGAACCAAGGCGGGACGGAGACAAAGTCTGGAAGCTCAAAAGAAGTGTATATGGACTGAAACAAGCACCACGCTTGTGGCATCAGCACTTACGGGGTGTCTTGTTGGCGCTGGACATGGTGCAGTCCGAATCAGACCCCTCTCTGTTTATCTGGAAAAGAGACAGACAGGACACAGTGTGGCTACTCACTTACGTCGACGACATCCTCATCCAGTCTCATGACGCAGAAGGCATTGACGCTGTGATTCAACACTTGAAGCAGCACTTTACCTTAACGGTCAGCAAGACCATGACACAGTTTTTGGGGCTCAACGTCGCCGCGGACAATGACTCGATCGCACTCGGACTCACAAAGTACATCTCACTGGCTTTGGCGACATTCGGGATGGAGGGCAGCCGTTCCGGAGTACGGACACCGATCGCCAAGGAACCTCGACCACAAGGAGAACCACCGGACGAGATTGATGGTCAATTGGTGCTGAAACAAGTTGGGACATTGCTGTACATCTCAACAGCAGGGCGGCCGGACATAACCTATGCGGCGCATGTGCTGGCCAAGCAAGCAAGCAAACCAACAGCAGCGACAGTACTTGGAATCCACCGGGTATTCAACTACTTACAGAACACTGCAGACATGGGGCTGGTCTATGGCGGAGGAGACTTGGTGCTCCGTGGATATACGGACTCGGATTATGCGAACGAAGAAGGGCGTCACTCAGTTGGAGGCTACGTGTTTACCTTGGGAGGAGCTGCTGTCAGTTGGAGGACCAAACGACAAACGGTCATTGCAACATCAACTGCTGAAGCGGAATACATTGCACTGTTTGAAGGGGCAAGGGAAGCCACATATCTTCGCCGCTTGTGTGAAGACCTCGGTTTTCAACAGCAAGACCCTACCGTCATCTTTGTGGATAACCAAAGCGCCATTGCGCTTGCAACCGGGGAGCAGATGAGTCAACGCATCAAGCACATGGACGTACGTTACCATTGGACGAGGAAGGCCGTTCGTGATGGAGTTGTACGGCCGGAGTACTGCCCAACAACTCAGCAAGCTGCGGATTATCTTACCAAGCCCCTCACAGCAAAACAACATCTCACCTGCAGCCTCTTGTGCGGTCTCCAACCTCTTCCACATGTCGCACCGTCTGCACACAGTACTCACATTGAAGCTGCTGGAGCTGCTCTCTCAAGTTCGGGCTTCACAAAGGGAGCTGAACACGGCATCACGTAACTCCACACATCTCACTCATGTGTTTGATGATGTGTGCATGCTCAAGCATGTGCATGCCTACAAACGCACGAGTGAGAGGGGGAGTGGGGTGTAGAGTATCTTGGGGTGCAACAAATCAGGATTTCATCTCACAACCATCTTTTCATTCTCACAAAAGTCCGCATATCATCATGAGAAGACCTACTGCAATCAGTAACAACGGCAGCCATCAGATATTCTGCTGCACAGTCGCTGCTGCCGGTTGGTCACAACCACTCGCCATCTGCAACGGCCGTTCCTGAAGACTTCAAATGCCTGAGGGTTTCAGGGGGAGAAGAAACAAGACAGCATGAGTCAAAACATTGTCCAAGCCAAAAGAGACGGAGGGCATCACAAGAAGCAGCTGACGATGTACTACTGAATACAGAAGCATAATTCCAATAGGAGGCAAGGGGAGCTGGAGACAGGGGCTGCTGGTGCTGCTCACCACTCATCATGGTGATGCAGGTGCTGCTGCTACAAGGCGTCAAGGGGAGCTGCCGCAGGGCGTAAGGAAGCTACAGGACGGTGCTGCGGCCTGCCAGGTGCTGGAGTAGCCCACCAGGTGCTGCTGGTGCTGCCGGGGGTAAGGAGCTGCCGTCACCGTTGCGAAGGACAAACAGTGGAGAAGGAAGTCAGTCACGTGACATAGGCAAGTTTCACCGCTACACTTCAAAGAATGAAAGGTGACTCCCTTGGTCAGAGGGAGAAAGTGGAGCGGACCGTCAGGTGCTGCAGCTGCGGCCAGCTCATACCATTGCCTGCCGCCTTACCTGAAGCACGATGGCATCAGGAGCTGCAGCCGTGCGTCACCAGCTGCCGCTGCCGCCGCCCATCATGGTGGGGTGAGCGAGCCAGGAGCAGAAGCAGCCGCCAGGTGCTTGTGTACCAGTTGCAGCTGCCTCCGGGGGTCACATAGTATAGGGGGAGCAGCACATGGTCACGAGGAGCAGCACAGGGTCATGGGAAGCAGCACAGGGTCATGAGGAGCAGCACAGGGTCATGGGAAGCAGCACAGAGTAACAGGGTAACATGGGTGAAACTGACAAGAGTCAACTAAGCATTCTCACCTCGGTCGGAAGGAGAAAGCCGTGCGCAGCCAGGAGTAGCAGTAGTGGGCCGCCAGAAGTAGCAGCCGTGCAGCCGCCAGGAGCAGCAGCCATGCGCTACCAGGAGCTGCAGACGTGTGGGCCAGAGTGCCAGGTGCCGATGCCGGCTGCAGCCGCTCACGCTCGCTAGCTGGTATGGGCGGGGGCAAGGAAAATCACAAGAGAATGTGGGAGCAGTAACAAGCGACTTAGCACGGCCAGTGCTGCAGTACATCAATTGCAAGAAACACACATGAGTGAGGTCAAGATGCAAGCAGTGGTAGTTACACGGAGAAGGGCAACTCACCTCGTCAAGACAGAGTATGCACGTAGCTGCAGCGGTGCGGCGTCGGAAGCTGCTGGTGTGAGAAGGCCCCGCACCTGCCAAGAGCCAAGTGTCGCAGTGTAGATGCTGCCACACGAGTACAAGGTCGCCCAAAATGGCAAGGGGAGGGCGCGCACCAGCAGAAGCCGCCACATGCGAGGTAATGCAGCGGCGAGCATGCTGCTGCAGTCGTGCGCCAGTCGCTGCTGCCGATCGCCACGGGCGCCATGAACAGCAGTCGCGCGCAAGGAGCTGCAGCGCGCAGGTTGTCAAGCGAGGAGGTCACGGCAGCCGCGCGACCGAAGCAGCAGTCGCGGATCTGGCCGCAGCCTCAGGAAACGCGCATCCGGCGCTGCAGGTCGTCACGTGCGCTGCTGACACCGAGCACCAGCCATGACATGGCGAGCGCTAATGATGCGCGCAGCTGAAGGACATCGCGCCATGGCGCAGCAAATTCGTCGCGACTAAAGCAGCAGTCGCGCGATAGCAAAGGAAATCGGGCCAGCACTGGAAGGCTGAAAAAGCAGCACGTCATCCAGTCCTAACGTTTCGGTGAAAAATCGGGCATAGTCTCATCAGCAGCAGCGGCAGGAAACGATGAACAAGAAACTGAACGGGAGGAGGTGCTGAGAAACCCTGAGACAATCTGTCGAGAATGAGCCTGAATGACGAGTCTGAAGACCCCTGCTGAGCGAGAACCGAGAGATTGCGGGGAGAATTGCGACCCAGGGCGTAGCACTGCTGGAATCACCTGAGAAGCGAGACGTGCGCCTACTCAGCTTGGATCGTGCAGCCGTCGCAAGTATGGTTCCCGCCGACACTTTCTCAACGGAACGTTCGAAACCCTAGCAGGGTGGATCAATCAACAGTCACTGCCGTGATCACCGCCACCACCGAAATCACCGCCGCAATCAACGCCATTACCACAAATTCAACCGTCAATTCCAACGTATCCTCCATTCAGTCACGCCTCAGTAGAACCTACAGCAAGGGGGAGTGTTAAATATACAAACATAAGATGATACTTATGCTGTTAGGTTTTACTGTAGTGTTCCTTTATAAGACTCTCAGTCCTCCAATAATTGTACAATTATTGGAGGGTCAGAATTATTGGTGGGTAGAATTATTGGCGTGGCATTGTTGGTGTGGATAGAACCATCCTGAAGGGGTTAGCTGCTCAAATAAATACCCTGCTCTGTCATTTTCATAACAATTCCATTGTTCTGAATCTTTTCAGTTGTAAGTTCCTCTTGCTACTTATTTTACAATCAAGCTTCCGCAATACCGGCACTATGCCTTTCTAGCAAGAACAAGGGGTCACAAGACCAGTCAAGAGAAGCAAAGCAAGCTCAGGGTGGATCACAACGCCACCACACACACTGAGCACAACGAAAGGTCCACAAGGCGAGTTCACATGCAGAGGTATATAGGCAACAACAACAGCACACTGATCTCTACCTAGCACAACAAGCATGCACGTATATATATAGATCACAGTACAAATCAAGTCTATAGCAAGTGAGGAAACGGGGGCACAAGGCCTAACAAAATACAAAAACACTGATGATCACCAGACGGAAGTGCCTTGGTGAATATATCAGCAGTGTTGGCCTGAGTGGCCACGTGAGCAAGACGAAGCTGAACACGCTACTGCAACTCTCGAGCGAGGAAGAAAGGCAGAGCAATGTGCTTCGTTCTGTGCTCCAGTCTGTGCTCCTGACACAAGGCAATGGCGGCCTTGTTGTCTACGTACAGCACTGAAGGAGAACGAGGCCCCTCTCCCACGTTGGTCAGCAGGTAGGTGAGCCAGCGTAGCTCCTGTGCAGCCATGGCTGTGGCGTAGATCTCAGCCTCACAACTGGAGCCGAGAACAGAGGACGAGCGTGTAGACCACCAAGAAACAGAGCCAGAGCCAAGGCTGAAGGTGTAACCCTGTGACGACCGCTGCGTAGCCAGGTCGTCAACCCAAGAAGCGTCCGAGTGCCTAGTGAGGACAACTGGGCTCCGCCCTCCAAGCACGAGCCCCATGCCCGATGTAATGCACAAGTAGCGCAGTACCCTCTTAGCAGCATCCATGTGCACCTTTCGGTGCCGACCAGGAGCCACGTAGCGAGCCAGAAGGCCAAGAGGGTACGCAAGGTCAGGATTAGTGCAGGTCATCAGGTACATGAGGCAGCCCACTAGCTCTGGGTAAGGACCACTCGGCTCTACGGACTCGTCCGAAGGTGGAGCTGAGAGCGAGTGACCTGTAGCCAGAGGAGTGTGCTGTGGCGAGGACCAGGTGAAGCCGAAGCGCTGAAGGACCTGCTCCACCATGTGTGACTGAGTCAGTGTGATGGTGCGGCGTGCTCTGTCCCAGGTGATCTGCAAGCCAAAGTAACTACGCAGCTCACCCATGTCTATGCACGTGTGTCTCTTCTACAGCTCCGACTTCACCAGGGCGAGAGCCTCAGTGTCAACAGTGGCAAAGACCAAGTCGTTGACGTACACGAGGATGTAGAACGGCGCCAATGAAGTGTCGGTGCGCAGAAACAGCGACGGGTCAGCAGTCGACGGAGCAAACCCAAGAGCAGCAAGTGTCGTCCTTAGTGTGTCGTGCCACTCACGTGGCGCCTGCCGGAGATCGTAGAGCGGCCGCCGGAGGCTCCACTGGGTACCACGAGGGAACGACCTTGTGAAGCTAGGAGGGCGGCGCAGCCAGATCTCCTCGTGCAGGAGAAAGTTGTGCTGAAGTCAAGAGAGCGAAGCTCGTAGTCACGCTGAGCGGCAACGTGCAGTAGCACCCAAAGAGTGGTCATCTTCGTGCTGAGTGATGCTACCATTCGCATTCACGTCTGTCTGCCTCCCATCATATGTTCGTGCGTTGCATGCGTGTTGTGAGTGTGTGCAAGAATTTGTGTTTTGTGCGGTTTGGATTTTCTGAGTGTGTGTGAATGTTATTTGGCTTGAGCAGATATCTGAAGTGACTCCACTGCTCAAGAGCTTTCCGAGGAACCAAGTATCGCTTCAATCGGAGCACGAACAAGAAAGTTACGAACGTTGGAGTTCGTATGCTTTTGATATTTGGTTGTGGTGACTATGGGAAGTTGTGGGGTTGACTCAATATGGGGTACAGACTTTTGGGGGTTGGGAAACTCGTCACTACTACTGTAGTTGCTGCCAAATGGTTGGGAGAAACCAAACCAGGCTGGCAAGTGTGGCCAAGTTGGGTTGAGGTGGATTGTGGAGGTTGGGATAGTGACAAAGGTCAAAGTTGGGTTGCCTATGGGGAAGGGAATTGTGTGGCATGGGGTTTCCTTGGTTGGGGAATCTCTTGGGACCTTCCCTCTCGTCCTCCTCTTCCCTCCTACCTGGTTTAGTGCTACCCCAACTCTCTTGTGTGTAACTTTGTGGAACTTGTGAGAACCATTGTGATTGAGTTAAGCATGTGGCAGCATACCCCCTAGTGCGCCGAAAATCATAACTCGAGATTTACTCCACCATTTGATACGATTCAAATTGGGAAAGATAGCCCTGGTTACACGCTACAACATACTCGAGTTTGAGACAATTCCAACAGTGCAAGTTTAGCCGACGACGTTTCTTGTGAACTCGACGATTCTGTCCAGAATTTCAAGCCAACGATTTTGAGAAATTTAGGCTCCTAATCTTCATTGACTCCGTCCTTAGTCTCTAACAAGTGGTATCAGAGCTGATTAAGGACCTTGTGGGGAGTCTACTGAAGTGTGAAGACCCTCCTAGACCCACCATGGCCTGTGGGCGTGCCTAAGTGGAGTTCTGGAGGTTGGATGTGACTTCCGCTAAGGGGAAACTCTGCCGAAATTTCGTTGGCGCCGTCACTTGTGAAAATATTGTGGATCTACATTGTGACCAGCAAAAGGGGGAGCTGAAACCTCTGATTGGGAGCAGAGGAGATGAGTGGAGAAGCAGCTGTGAAGAAGAGTGAACCGCCACCGTCCAAGATCGAGGCTTTGGACGGCTCCAACTACGAGGAATGGAGCGGGCGGATGCGGAGCGCTTTCAAGCGCTACAAGCTGCTGAAACTTGCGATGGGAGAAGAGAAGATGCCGGAGGAAGGTGATGCCCGCGACAAATGGATTGAGAAGAGTGCGGTGCTGTACGACCTAATCCTTCAATCGGTCAACAATGATATGTTCCAGCATATCAAGGACCTACTGGAGCTGGACGACTCCGGGCCTAAGGCGTGGAAGCTGCTACGCGATGTGGTACAACCCAACACGCTGCCGATGGTGATCGTAATGGAGAAGGAGCTGGCTGCTCTCTCCATGAAGGCGGGAGACGATGTGAAACCGGTCCTTGACAAGATCAAGGACACCTATGCGAGGATGGCAGCGGCGGGCAGCAAGGTGTCGGAGATGCAGCAGTGCACCAAGATCATCTCGGTGCTCGACAACTCGTGGGACAACCTCATCCCCACCCTCAACGTTCAGAAGGACAAGTGGACGCCTGAGTGGCTACGGCAACAGATCCTGCAGGAGGACTTCCGCAGGCGCCACATGGGAGGTGGTGCTGCCAACAAAACTGCTGAGGGGTATGGAGCTGCAGGAGGCAGCAGAGGAAGAGGGGAAGGGAGAGGCCGAGGCCGTGGGAGAGGCTTTGGCAGAGGAAGAGGCCGAGGTGACTACAACGAGGGGCATGGGAGCTCTGGTGGCAAGGGGAGTACCCGAATGGAGGGTGCGTGCTGGTACTGCAAGAAGGCTGGACACCCATGGTTCAAGTGTTTCAGCCGGCCTGAAGGATGGGCGCCTCCAGGCACGAAGCCGCCAAGTGGTGAACGTGCACGAGGTGGTGCTGTGCAAGGTTCAGGTGCACAAGGTGATGGTGCACAAGGTAAAGCTGACCCTGGTATGTTCCTCATGGTTGAGGACGTGCAAGGGAGTGGGGGTGATGTGGGTTCAGTTGGGAAGGTTGTGATGCACCCCCTCACTCACTGGGTGATCGATTCAGGTTGCACAAGTCACATGACTCCACGGGCAGATTTGCTTGATGAGGTGAAGCCCCCTGGGAAGATAAAGTTTGTGGCTGCCGCTTCAGGTGCCTTGCTCCCTGTGATTGGTGTTGGGAATGCCAAGGTTATGGGAGCTAATGGGGGGCTTGTGGGGCTGGGAAATGTGCTGTTGGTTGAAGGTTTATCCGCTAACCTCCTCTCTGTGCGCCGGCTGCAGAAAAGCAAGGCCAAAGTTACGTTCGGCCCAACCAGCTGCCGTGCAAAGCTTGGGAAGTTGCTGCTGTGGGATTTGGAGGAGAAGAGCAGCTGCATCAAGGACCTGTGGCAGCTGCCCATCATCCCTTGGAATGGGAAACCTCCAGCAACGGCAAAGGCAGCGGCAGCGGCTAAAGCAACTGCGGGAGGAGAGGAGACTGCACCAACTGCTGGGGCCCTGGATGCAGTCAAGAAGGTGCAGCAGCCACAGCAATCACA